AATCGCACCGAATGGTCGAGGGCGAGGGGTGACGAGGAAACCGCTGAGACGTTTCTGGACAAAAATCATGACAAAGTGTGTGACGACACATTTGAAACTGAACAACGAGTTCTACGAATATAAAATGCTTGATTTAATTTTAATGCTTCCATCTGTACAACGATACTTGACGACAAAAATATATAATTCTGTCACTGAGTGAATGCGTAAATCCCGGATTATCAATCATTTTCAGACTTGAAGTCACAATTCATATGATGAAGCCAACAGGTTCAAATATTACTTAATAATTTTATTTAAGCCATAAAATTTTTAGCACGAGTAATCTTTCGATATCAGTTGTAATTTGTGTTGCAATTCGCATGTCCGTCTCTTGATTACAGATAGTTAACGCTAAATACTGATTACATTAACAAATACTGTTTTCTGATATAAGGTAGCCCCACCATACAGAACTGACAACAGCACTTCATTCTTACGCCCAAGCTGGGACTTCCTACGTCATACGCAGAAGTGGAAACTGGTCATTATACAAAGTATACGCGAGCCGGACAAAATACGTCAGCTAGATAACTGGTCTGCGGGCCGAGAGTTGAACCAGAGAGCTCCCGTTTACGAAGCAGGAGTTCACCATTGGACTGTGACGTAGGGTTTTGTCCCACGTGCACGGTTGGTTGAGTAGAGCGAACTCCAGAACGCGTAGGTTAGGTTTCGAACCGGCAGTGCTACAACCTTATCAGAAACAAACATGCGAACTACAATAAATTTATAATGCCGCTCACCGCGGCATTGGCAGTCCTGCTTCGTACCCGGGATCGAGTCTCAGTTCACGTGACGTCTTTAATTGATGCAAAGTTGGTAGCTTCAAAGGCTTCGCTTTCAATTCCAGATTCATAATTTCCAACATCTTATAATGTGACGCAATTGATTAAGCATCATCAAACAAATAGCTCTATAGAGCAGAGCACTAGTTGAGATGATAACAGTAGCCCGGCTCGTTAAGAAAATCAAGGTTCATGACCGTGTTCACAAAAGCCTGCCACTGGATCCCATCCAGAAGTACACGAATCCATTTCGCCCCCTCATATTTCGATTCAGTAAGCCGCGTTTTAGGATTACCTTCCCATGTACGCCTAGGCCTCCAAAGTGTCTCTTCCTTTCATGTTTTCCGACGAACACTTCATATACAGAGTGTCCCAGAAACATACTTACATCATAATATGGAATATTAACTTTGTGTGCAAACATGTTTCTGGGACACTCTGTATATTTATAATCTCTTCTATCAGTGGCATATACACCGCCACGGTGGTCTAGCGGTTAGAACGCTGGCCTTGTAATCCTGGGGTCTCGGGTTCGATTCCCGGCGGTGCCCGAATTTATAACTTGTGTTGGCCAAGGCCGCGGTCTAGGCAACACGGAGTTTTCCTCCGTGGCATCCCAACAATTACTCCATTCACACACAGAAGAAGGCAATGGCAAACCACTTCTGGATCATCTGCCAAGAACGTATATGAACAGGTCCCAGTCCGAGAAAAGGATGGAAGGATCCTGTTCATATGGACCTGTCGTCAGACAGAACACTAAATAAATAAATCACCACACATTCGGTCCAAAATCCCTTAACAGCAAATTATCACCAACACCTATTATTCAGACAGATAAACTAAGGCGACACTATAATCAAACGAAAAGAGGTTACGATCAGCTGAGACAAAAACGCCATTGTTTGTCAACAGCAAATAAAACGTAGCTCGTACTGTGTGTCACAACAGAACAACGCACTTTCTCTTACACTGAAGGCCCTTATTGAGGCGTTAATGTCTCTTAGCCTAGGCCGAGGTCAAAATCGTGCCGAAAGTGGAGCTTCATAACCACTACGCCATCCTTTCATCTGTACACGACGTGCAGGCAGATAAAAACAGGCTGTCTTCTGGGTTGTAGCGCCGTGAAATCTGGTAGAACATTACCGACGTTTCACAGGTCCTTGCTGCCTCCATCATCAGGGCGATGACTTCTGCCATAACCCATAAGACAGCCATCTTTGTAGTCCCCGCCGTGAAAACCTCAAATCGTATTAAAAATTACGAATATTGTTTACGAAAGATAAGACGTGTCCTTTTCTTGGCTGTAACGAGCGAATGAGCAATTTCTTAAAAAAAAAAATCGCGGCCCACCTGAAACGTCGCGGCACACAGGTTGGTTTAAAATAATAATAAAAGTGAGATCGCTTAATAGGAATAATCATGAAACGTGGTAATTTATCGACAAAGCTTAAGGGTAATAAACCACTTGGGAAACAGTCGTAGATGGGAGGATAATATTAAAAAGAGTATTACTGATATAGGATAATGGTGTCGAATGTTTCCATAAAAGATGGGGAACGTCGTGATTATTTATTAACGATTCGGGAAAAAAGATCTGAATTGTCATAGGAAGGGGGAGAAAACATGATATAGTAAATCCTGCTCGGTATGAAACCTGGATTAAATGAAATTTTGTTTTTATAAGACGCACTGAAGATGGAGGCAGTATGTTCCTCTGAAACATTGGTATCTATCTAAATGCCCGCAAGGCCTTAGATCCCAAAAGGCAATCGTCGGAAAAAAAGTTTTTGATTTCTTATTTCGAAAATCAGTCAATTCAACGCCGATCTTCCTACAGGCTTCTCGGCAAATTTGTAATAGACGAAGACTCTGAAAGCATGGTCTCTTTTCTTACAAAGGACAGCCGGCACTTAAAATTTCTGACTTGTGGATGTGAGTCCCCTAACATGGTGTAACTAAGATAGACCAGAAAATCGAGTTCCTGGCCGGTAGAACGTTGTCATGACAACTGACAACAAAACAGCAGTCTCACAAGGTCCCACGCGTAATAAAATAGAAACCAGTTGCAGAGTGTGTGTACTTCGTACAGAAAAACTTGACACATGTTAACTTGTGGGAACGAACCAAGACATTTAATATTTTCAAAGCGACGTGATTTCAATACAGAAAGTGAAAAGTCTTCTTTGTGGATTTCCGAGTCTCTCTTGTATTGGTTGTTTACAGTGTCAAATGAATTGGACTATTTTAAATTTTAAACCTTATAAAACTCGGCGTACGAGATCATGGGTTCTAATTCCATCTGGGGCACGAACCCGTGTCCTCGTTATTCTGTTCTGTGCTGTCCTATGTAGATACAGGCCTTGCGACGGGCTGATCACTTTTCAGTCCGTACCGCAAAGAAAACACAGCACTTTACCATTACAAAGATCAACTGGTTAACGCTGTTTAAGAAAATGATCGCTGTTTACACTGAGAATCACGCGAAACTCATAGATACAGTGCGTAGGCATCTAAATAATATTTAAAGATTCAGTCCGTACCGCGAAGAAAACACAACACTTTACCATTACAAAGATGAACTAGTTAACGCTGGTTAAGGTAATAATCGTTGTTTACACTTTTACCATACGAGACCCATAAATTACGAGCAGCAATGGTTGCATTTCGCTCTTCGTTTATTCTAGTTTATAGACAGGCCTGCCAACTGTTGAGTAACCACAACAAAATGGAAAATACGCTACTTACATAACCTCTTCATTGTGGCTGGTAATTTCTGTTGAGAAACAATCTGCCATTTCATGGCATAATCGAGTGACATCGCTGATGTAGGCAATTTGGGAAAATATTTCATATAGAAACATTCATTTTTTGCCCTTGAAGTAGCAGGAATTATGTAAACTACCGTAAAGCAGTTCATGACGCACACTTCTCTTCCTCAGAATCAAACTGACACATCCATTACGTGTGAGAACATTGCTCAATCACTAACAAAAATATCAAAGTGACTGGTTAGAAACGTTCCCATTGTAGCGCCGTGTAGTCTGGTAGAACATCGACCTGATGATGGCAGCAAAAAGGACCTCTGAAACGCTAGTAAACTTCTACCACACTACACGGCGCTAGAGCCCAGATGACAGCCATCTTCCTCTGACTCAGAGTGCCAAATCAGTGGACGACCATGGTGAAACTTCAAACAAAAAAGACACCCAGAGCAGGTTTGTCCACCTGTAACGACCTAGGTTTATATTCTGATGAACCTCGTTCGAATTTCGGGCGTCAGGGGCCAGTTTTACTCTTTGATATGCGTCACGGACACCGTCAGACCTTAAACCTGAGAACTGGAACTGGCCGACCTGTCAGGCGACCGTGGTTTGAATCCGGCCAGTCACGATCAGCGTTTTATCCGTGTTTTTAATCTAGAGGCAATTTCTTATGACCAACAGTCTTGACCGCATTACGCCTCAAACACTCACTGCGCATGCTCCAATTTCCTCGATTTTGAAATTATACGATACACTGACGGCGCACTCTACGTGACAGGCTTCCTGTTTCCCCTGATACATGCTCAGCTCTTCAGGAATTCCCCTGGGATTTTTTTTATTATTATTATTATTATTATTAGTGTTCTGTCTGGCGACAGGTCCATATGAACAGGATCCTTCCATCCTTTTCTCGGACTGGGACCTGTTCATATACGTTCTTGGCAGATGATCCAGAAGTGGTTTGCCATTGCCTTCTTCTGTGTGTGTTGAACATACGCGGAATAAAACGATAAAATTAAGATGAATTTTCCGCAGACCAGACACTTCAACAGACCGCAAGGTTTTCCCAAAATCCTTTAAAAACTAAACTAACATTAAATAACTCTGCATTCTGCCCACAGTGCACTGACGTGTTCCGTATAATTCTCGGATTATACCGATTATTTCCTTAACCAGCGTTTGGATCACCCTGTATAATGACCATTATTAAATCACATAATATTAAAATGACGAAATAAACTATTATAGGCACATGTTCGATTACAACGAGTCCTCATATCGTAAATAAATAGTCCTCCCCTATTTTTAAAACGATTAGCGTAGAGGAACGCCCTGTGAATGTCTGCAGTGTTCCCACCTTAACACAGCCGCTATGATGCTCGCAATGCTATTCGTGGGTTCGTTGTTTCAGACGGTTGTCTGGTGTTCGTCCGAGCCGAAGATAAGACGGGACACAATTTCGGGTACGACGGAGAAACTGGTACGTATTCCTATTGAACCAAATGTCTCGTTTTTCCACACAAACGTAGTTTATATAATTCTGGATTTAGAACGAGTCTGTGACTATACCGCGTGTGCCACAGGTCCCTCACATTGGGCGAAGGATTACCAGACGTGCGCCGGAAAGTTTCAGTCCCCGATTGACATAGAGGAACATCTGGTGACGCAGGTTCGACTCCCACCTTTGACCTTTGATGCCTTCGACAGCGAGCCAACCACCAGCACGCTAACCAACAATGGACATACCGGTGAGAGAAACCACGTATGTGGTGGGGACACGTGTCTTGCACGTGTTTGGGATTCTGAAGTCTGCTACATGTTCCACTCATCCTACGTGATTTGATGAACCTGACGATATGTAAAGTTTTTTTCCAAATTATGAAGGTCATTGTCCAAACACCGTCAGTGTATGTTCACCACTTAGGGTGAGAGACCCCAAAATATTCTGGTCAGTACCCTGTTCTCAAGGACCATTAGGGGAAAAGACCCGTGAACTGGATCCCACCTGAACAGTTCGTAAGTTGAAATTGCGAAAAATTTGACGTTAAGAATTTAAGAACATGACGTCAGGACGCCATATTTGTAATAAATAGCATCGCCTTCCAAAGATACCTGTCAGTCCACGCGTCGCACTTTCTGCCTGAAGAAGATATTTCGGGGAAGACAACTGAATAAGAACGCGACAGCTACGACGGACAATCCTCTCAGGTCCACGAACTTCCACCGTGAGGGTACCGTACAAAAACATCGCCGAAAGCCCTGTGAGGTCTCTTTGATGTACAGTGCGTCCAAACTCGTCTGTAACTCCCATATCCTCATTTCTTCACAATCTTTCAATATTAAGTTACCAAAAACGTCCTAGATGCTCCTTAGTCATGACTTGCGTTGGTGCCAAGAGCACGGCTCTTGGTAATTCAGGGGACATCTTTGTGTATTAAGTTACCAATTACGTCCTAGATGCTCTCTAGTCATGACTTGCGCTGAGAGCACGGCTCTTGGTAATTCAGGGGATCGCTTCCGAGCTCATGTCACCGTGACGTAATTTGGCCAAAATTTATCTGTCAGATGGACGTCAGACATATTACAGCCTGCGCCACAATTTGGGTTACAGAGCGGTTGGCATCATAAGTTTACAGCAAGACTCTGAGACCCACCACGACCCATATTAATAATAACAGCGAATATAATTCTCTTAACCCATACTCTGCTGCTGTCATAGCAAAAGCATTATTTCACAACGTTAGATTGACTTTCACGTTGCGCCAACAGACCGAAATAAAAATTGCCCAACAAATTTTCATGTTGTACTTCTAACCCCCGAATTTATAAGAAATTAATTTAGTAACTTTTGAAAATAAACATGCGGGCGGGCGGACAGAAATTTTTCAATAATAATTAGGATGGTATCAGCTAAAAGATGACAGTTTAATTAGCATTAAAATAATCTATTCTTTTTATAATTTGCAAAATCTTACATAATTAATAACAGACCGCTAATTATAGGTTATACATTATTTTAATTCGTATTGTGAAATAATTACAGGAACCTGATCTAAGATAACATAAGATGAAAATGATTTGTCTTCTGGGTTGTTCCACCGTGCAGTCTGGTTGAAAGTTTCAGAGGTCCCTGATGATGGATGTAACAAGTATCTCTGAAACGTCAGTAAACGTCTACCAGGCGCAACACCCCAGAAGACAGCCACATTCGGATTCACCGCCGTGAGGACGTGAAATCTAATCTAATGCGTTAGTTTAACTATCTCCGTACAAGGATGACGCAAACTTTACACGTGTGGAGCAAAGCTGTAGGCTCTATACTATGTCAGGTGTTCCGACCTGTCGCACACGTGACGGGTCGCGATATACGAGTATCAATATCGATAATACCTGCCACGAAAAAGTTTATGGAAGTCAGAAAAAATAAAAACCCGTCCCACTGCTACTTTTCCACTGACTTGTACGTAGTACAAGCCTTGAAAGCAAACCGAGTCTCAGTGGTTAAAAGCGTTGTTCCATACCTTTCAGTGCGGATGCAAGTTCGTTCCACGGGGCCGATCGCAAAATTATATTTGATGATCTATTATGGATCATTATGTCTCCCATTAGAACATGAAGCGGCCTTGACACAACATTTCAGCAGATTCCACTGTAACAATTACGATAATATATTGTTAGGATGCGATGATACGAGATCCTGTTCATATTAAACTGAG